AAAAAAAAAAATTTACTTGAATCAAGTAAATAATTTTTAAGAATTTCATCTTCTTGATTTGAATAGAAAAATTCTCGAACTATGAAATTTTTCTTGGTTTAAGTAAATTTTATCCGAACAAAAACAGTTTCACTGTAAAAAAATCGTGCCAAGTCCACGTTCATAAGACTATTAAGGAAAAAAAATTAGTTTTTTCTTTACAAAAAGAGATAGAATAAAAAAATTAAAAAAATTAAAAAATCCAAGTAACCGGTATGATTGTTTATGATTTTCGGAAATTAAAAGAAATTTTGTTGTAAATTTAAAAATTAAACAAACAATTTTGGAACGTATTTAGTGTGCGTGGTTGTAAAATATTTTACTTTTAATGAAATTCGTGAATTCTATTTACTAGGACTTTATGAAAATTGAAATACACAATGACGCACACGAAGTACGTTCCAAAATTTTTTTTTTTAATTTTTAAATTTACAACAAAATTTTTTTTAATTTCCGAAAATCATAAACAATCATATCGGTTACTTGGATTTTTTAATTTTTTTATTTTATATCTTTTTGTAAAGAAAAAACTAATTTTTTTTTCTTAATAGTCTTATGAACGTGGACTTGGCGCGATTTTTTTACAGTGAAACTGTTTTTGTTTGGATTTTAGTATTTTTTGTAATTATAATGAAAATTTACAATTGGTACCAACTTAAATCTCGCGTTGGCTGCATTTTTTTATAGCAAACTATTCCCTTGAAGCTACAGTTTATGTAAAAATAATTCCAGCGCACCCTGGCGGGTGTAGATGCAAGCTGTGAAATATCTTTTTTTAACTGTAGTTTCCCATCTAATGAAGGATTATTATGCATTCTTGAATTATTTAGTCTGTGGCAGATCACTTTGCCCATCGAAAAAAAGTCAGGATCGAAATTTTTGCGTTGCTATAGTTTGTGCTGATCAAATTTAGTAATTTCAAGTAGATTAATTGTTATAAGTGAATATAATTAATTAATAACAGTCAAATAAAGTATAAATTACTGTTATAATATACAATTTAGGAAAAAAAAGTACCGTAAAATTAAATAAAATTTTGCCACCTCAAAATACCGTTCTGCTTACAGTAAACACAGTCGGTAGTCTGGCGCTCCGTTGACAACGGATTTGAACGGAACTTGGCGCCAGATTCTACCGAATCTGTGGATTACAATCATTACATCACAAGCCCTAGTGAAAATCACATTTGGTAGAATTTTTTCCAAGAATTATAATTAAAGTGCCCATGTTCAATTACGCATTAAAATGTGCGAAGTGGCCTATAAAAAAATTTACGATCGCTCGTAAATAATTTTTCAAAAGTAATAAAAGTCACTGATAATAAATTAAATAGTAACTTACGTGCGTAGGAAGGACAAAAAGGACATTAAAACTCACATGCATGCATGTGAGTTTTAGCGATACTAACACATAGCAATTCATTTTTATAAATATAGATATAGATTTTATACGGGGCAATTTTCTTATGTTCATAATTTTATTGCAAGCTTTAGGCATTCACCGCTGTGGTATAAGGAATACACAACATGTGACAGTTAGCTTTTTGTTTATTTAATTAACTAACAAGGTTAGCCTCTATATTATACGATTCAGATCAAAAAATTACTAGTCTAATACGAACTGCCTTTAAGTGAGGATCCATTGCTGATTTTATAATAAAATAAAAAGACATGTGCAATATTAGTTTTGGGTTGACTATAAGTGAGCGAAAATGAGTACCGAATTCGAAGAGCTATCTGCCGTTGACTTCTTACTTTTTATGGACAATGTAGACTCGTTTGACCTTATCCGTCTAGAATACTACACCATTGAACAGAACCGGAAAATTTGCGAGGTGTTTGATGATGAGCCTGACAACAAAGGGTGCCGACAGCTGTTACACCGATTTCTCTGCTGCATGAAAAGGTACCCCAGAGCCGATTTTATAAACGTCTATGACGCGTACGACGGACAGCAAAAGTATATTTGTACAAGCGACCCAAAAGCAGAAAACTACGATAAATTTTGGGAATTAGCCTGGTGCCGTGAAGTTAATACCATCGTGAAGATATCTCAAAGCAGAGAGGAAGGAAGCTGTCAGTATTGGAGTTCCAGAGAAGAAAGTGAGATAGAGTGTGGAAGTTTTAGAATTAAGACTCTGATAGTTATCAAGAGACCCCGTTTCATTGCAACATTGTTACTTTTGTCTGACCAAAAGAACTGCGAGCGTGAGATTTGGCACTATCATTACACTGCGTCGCCAACTGATAACAATCCAGATGATCCGTTTATATTTTTGTCCTTTGTGTGCAGTCTGAACGACACGTACACTATTTCAAAGAAGAAACAATCAGCTGAACGGAAGCCCGAAGCTGTTCTCGTTCATTGCACCGATAGTAGCAGTTTTTCGGCGATATATTGTATCCTCGATATTTGTGTAACCGAATTCAAATACACAGGTGCGCTTTCAGTGGCAAACGCTTCTCGGAAAATAAGACAGCGAGAGCACAACTGCTTGAATTATAACGCAGATGACTATAGTTTCTGCTATCAAGCCATTCATATGTATGTGTTAGGGGAAATGGGGCTCAGCCAAAAATATCTAGACGAAAGGGGACTCAATTGATAAAACACACTGCTGTAGTTATGTATTGTACACAAATTTTTCTAACGGGAAATTTAACTCTTAACTGAGAATAAATAAGGCACTTTAGATTTCTTATTTATTATTGTAAAAGAGTTTATTGGAAATTATTCACAAAATATCATAGTTTTATATTTAAAAGTACCCAAAGATTAACCAAATTTAAGCTGCACCGCAATTACCTGTAACAAAACATATCAAAATTAGGTCGTGAATATCTTATGTTCAAGATAATAAACAAAATTTATTTACAATGTCTTCTATTGTCCAAATTCAACTGTGATTCTGATCTTTCATTAATCTGCCTGCGCACTTTTGATAAAAATTGCCAGCAAACTGTAAAATATAGACCGGAATTATTAAAAAAGGTTTCGAAACTGTTATAATAACTTACTAGTGTTGTGACAAGCGATCGTTGTACACGATAATCCATTTGTCTGTACCAATTCGCTCGATAGATATGGAAGGATGTCCGGACTGAGATGAGCTCGACAATTTTTGTTTTCTAGAAATTAAAAAGAAGTATTAAAAAGTGATAGGTCGTTAAGAAAAGTCCCGTCTTGGAAATATAAATAGTTTATACTTACAATACGTCGTTATACGATTTATTGTTGATTGTGTATGTTGATCGAAGAGTATAGTCGTACATTTCGTAGCCTCTGACGCCTTTTTTCTCCAAAACCCTATAAAATAATTTTAAACAAATAAATTAAAAAAACAACAAATTACACAAGGAAAATATGGATGGTTAGGTTGCAGGCAAAGTACTTACTCCTCGATGATTGGTGCAGCAATTAATACTACGTGGCGGTCAGACTTTGGCACAAGCATTCGCGAAATTGGGTGATCATACCTCACGTCTATCGAGACAATTTCTCTAAAAGGAAAAAGTAAGTCAACTTTATGGCACTCAAAAATAATAATTTTGGTTTATCTTAATAATTTAAGAGTACTTACGACCGATGCGATCCTGTGGGAGCCAAGAGGTTAGGTTCAGGCATTATTATATCAGTTCTTACCGGTATAAGCAAATCAATTCGGCCAGTGTCTTCATGTCTGATAATAAAGAAAAGAAAAATAAAATAAAAAAAATATAAAACAGCTGTAATAGGACGATAATGCCTAGGCGCCTTTGATGGGATAAATGTACCCATTATATAAAGATATACAGTCTTTTGGTTTTTTTATTTTATTAATTGCAATTAAACGACACTGAGTTACATAGCCATCCGCGGTAGGGGGCCTGCAATTCCTTCAAAGAATTAAAAAAAAAAACATTTCACTGAATTAATGGATTTTTTGGCAAGCTACAGTGTTTACAAGGTTCATATCCGTTTGACGGACGGGAAAATTTTTTAAACTATTTTGATGTTTTTTTCCGTTTCTATTGCACTAAATAAATTTTTTAAAAGTATCCAATTAATCTCCATTAAATAATCGAGACAATAGTATGCTTAATATCTTGATTTCGTTAACTAACAAGGGTATAATAATAAAAATAGTTGCCGAAATATGGGGCGAAAAAAATTTGTTCGATCGTAAACCACTCTCTGATGCTTCTTATCATCGGTCGTCCAAAATACCAACAACATTTTTTTTTTTAAATATCAGGTTAGAATTTTTCTAAACTCTCAGTTACCAAAGGAGTTAATCATGTGGTAAATTCGAAAGAAGCCGAAGAAACCCGAGATAAAATTTATTAGAAGGACTCGCACGTAGTTCGTGGAAACACTCAAATTTTAACTAAATTTCAACATTGTCTTAGATAATTGAACTTCTAATTTTCGTTTAGAAAAGTTTTGAAACTAACAAGAGTATTATTATAAAAATAGTCGCCGAAATGAGGCGAAAAAAAATTTTAAATAAAGTTTCATGCAACACTTACATTTCTTCTATCTTTTTAAAAATATATCCTGGTCCGTTCTCATTATCGATAACCAAACCCGTCACGTCTGAAACGGTGAGGCTGATTTTCACACCTTTTTGATGATTACTAATCGCTTGTTTCGCTATGTTAGTAATCAAGTTTTTTGCAGTCTTTATTGGCCATTCTTTTGGTACCATAATTTCCGAAGTTAATAATTGATATTCGCTCATATTAAATGATTTTAAAAACGTTTTATAAGTAAGTCAAACAATATTTAAATAACTGTATAAAGCTAATGCCAATTAACTACCCTAATACTGGAAATGTGTTAACTAGATGAATTCCAACGAGTGACTGAAATCCCGATAATTATTTCCACAAACCGCTCTTCCAGTTATCAGAGACGACCCGATAACATGTCACATCCACACGTCAATAAAAATAAATCTGAGTGACCATTATATGATAAATAGCCGAAATAATAAGAGAAGTTTATGTTTCATCGTTGTTATCTACTGGAAAATATAATTATCAATGGTGACCTATGACAGAATTTGAAATTGGAAAGCCCAAATGACTTCATCGCGAAACAAACAACACATGCACGGGAATAACATTCGGGTATCCCGTTGACAGTTTTATGGTTTATTCAATTATTAATTAAGACTAATGACCGACAATGAACCTAATTATCATTACACCCACTGTCGAAGCCGATATACTGTAGTGCAAATGTTACTTTTGGGAACTAATAATTACCCAGAAAGTGAAGACCAGTGAAACCTATATAGGAGATGACGTCATTTATACGCTCGCGTGTCTACAAACCGTTAGAGTATTATTTGCGTAGAATCCTTATGAGGTTCATTATGACCTTCCGGCAATTCTCTAACTATTATGTGTAATTTTCGCCGCATTAAGCAATCTGGGTTGGGTTGACGTTAATGGTTAAAATATTAAAGTAGAGATAGTGTAAATAATGTCTATAAAAAAATAATACGTAGAAATACTTTTGTTTTTTAATTTTTTTATTAATAAATTTGTATTACAAAAAAAAAAAACGTTCCGAAAACTGTATTTTTATACTTGTAAACAATTCTCTGAGTGTATTTTTAATCTGGAACGTAGTTTCAAGGATGTAACGGAAATAGATAGAAAAAATAGATTATGATAAAACCTAGGCAACAAGCTTCGATGCGCAGTAGATTAAATTAAACTTCTTGTGCCAGATAACGAATTATAAAGCAGGATCGACTCTTAAGGCTGTAAATATCTGTATTTTAAATTAAGCGGAATATTTTTATATCGATAGAATAGTCTCTGAGTTTTTAGTACTGCTTAAAGTGTTCTGATGCATGTAACGGCTAAAATGGTCAGTTTTGTTAATTCATAGAAATTTGATGTTACTAGTTTTTTAGAATAGATTGGAAAAATAATGTAGGTATACCTAATTACGTGATCAAAGTTCGTTAACCTAACTATCCAGGGCAAATATTTACGTTGAAAAAATACAATAACAATGACATTGTGACTCAACAGTATGTAACTAGCTTAACTAAACTGTGGATAAACATATACATTCGGATAAACATACAGGGGAACGATTAAAATAATTGTTTTTTAGGTGCGTAGTTTTCAGTAGGTAGGGCGGTGGATATATGTTCCAACACCGTGAAATGGAAATTAGTTCGAAACGTACTATCCTTAAGTTATCAACAATAGTTGAACTTAATTAAGTTCGATAGAAAAAACACTACGAAAAATGGCAGTAAACTCCGCTGTAGATATCAATGGAAATGATTTTCTAAGCTTTATAAACAAACCTGATTTACTAACCAGGATCATTAAGGAATATTACGCATTAGTCCCCAAGCACAAAGAAGAGGGAAACAGTGCGTCAGCTCAGAATGAGAATAAGTGTAAAAAGGAACTAGGTATGCATCTTACGCGCTATCTTAACCGTCGCATCAAGCTCAGGAATGATGGGAGAGTCCTTGACGCAAGTTTCGTCGATGGTTATGATTTCGAGCGGAAGTACATTTGCATTAAACGTTTGCAAGAAGATGCCTGTGACAAATTTTGGCAAGCGGTGTCGAATTACAAAGTGCAAATTATAGTGTTGATCAGTCGATTAAGTGATAAGAAGTGTTACCAATACTGGTCCTCAAAGGAGGGCTGTGTGAAAGTTAGTGATAAGTTCAGAATTAAGACCCTGAAAATTATTATCAAGCCACATTTTAATTTAACTTTGTTAAGTCTGACCGACAAGTTTGGCCAGGAGCAAAAAATATCGCATTATCAATACACCGCTTGGCCGGGGGATAACTTTTCTCACAAGCCGGATGCATTCATAGATTTTTATTGCAATGTCAAAGACATGTGCCTTCAGTTAGAGAGACAAACGGCTGATAAGAAAATCGCTCCTATAATTGTTCAATGTCTCGACGGGATTGGTAGCTCTGCGGTGTTTTGCGTATTTGATATATGTGCCACGCAATTTGACAAAACTGGAACCCTGTCACTGCCCAGTGTTCTTAAAAAAGTTCGCCAGCAAAAATACGGATTTATGAATTGTTTAGATGACTATGTCTTGTGTTACCAATTACTTGCAGTCTATGTTAAGGAAAAGTTGTTCATGTTGCCTTTTATCTAAATTGTACAACACTTACTTGTTATCAAAAAGCATTCAATACTTTCTTGTACTTAATATTATTTTATAAGCACTAGTATTTTATTAATGTCCTCAATATTGTTACTTTTGGAATTTATATCTATGTTTAGATTTTTCATAATCATTTACTTAAAATACTTTTATGCGCACTTAATTCATTCTATTGTGAATCTTCTTATAGATTTTTATGATTAATAGCCTCTTTTTTGAACTCTTTGCAATGTTTAAGTCCAGTTTAAGGACAGCAATTGATTACAATAAAAATTCCATAATAAGTCGAAACGTAATTTCACAGAAACCATGTTACGAAAGTGCGACTTAAAAAAATATTCTCAAACTTTTGATACGTAAAATGTAGTTACATCTATTTTCTATAAACACTTACAATCTATTATAATTGTTTTAGTAGCCTTGAATATTCTGGAGCTTTTGAACAAAGGCTTGTAAATCAGGTCATCTTTGATGTCAAAAACGGTCAGATTTACGACGATAAAATAAACATTGAAGCTGGCCAAAGGATTGCTCACACTCGTATATGTTCATTAACAATATTCATGATGTAATAAACGCGCCAGACTGTATATCGCCAATGATTATGGGTGCATTCTAGTTCTGACGTAGGTATTAAGATCACCAGGTTTCAGTGATGTTTTATTGCCTAATAAATTTTACGTGTTCATCAACGAGTGATAAGTATGGTCTGCGGATCAAATATGTACCAATGCTTTTTAGTTTTATAAGAAATTAATTGTTTCATTTTAAAAATAATTTATTAATTATTATTACAATTTTAAAAGTTGCCTACATAAATATTGTTATTTCCGCATATATGAATATAATTTCAAAATACTTTTGTATAGGTAAATGTAAATAAATTATCCACTTTAATAACATAGAATTTTTATTTAAAAACATTGCTAAAGTACAAGTGCATAAAATGTACATTATAATCAGGTCATTTTACAAGACATAGTTATTGCACTGAGAAAAAAGTGCATAAGCTGAATTATATCTTCACAAGTATAAAAATACAGTTTTTGTTAAAGTTAAAGTTAACCAAGATTATTAAGCCCATATTTAACTAAAAATAATTTGAATAATTTCATTGCACTTCAATATAAAAAACAATCTTAGGTATAGCTAATAAACTATTTTTTACTAGCTCAACCAAATTTTCCTCTCAATAAGAAAGATATAACTCAACATAACAAAGCAAAACTGCATAACAAAAAACATACTGATTGACATCAGACAGACAGTTGTACCTTTGCTTTCTAAGATTCGTAACAATTGAATAAAGGTTAAATTTACATGTTTTAACAAAACTAGACAGCGCAATATCAACAGCACAAAATGTCATAGCTCTTTCGAGCCCACTGTTGCAATGAACCACTATCGGACCTTTGGAATGCGTACGGTAGCCATTATCCAATTTTCGGTTGACCAGCCATCGATAATGTGTCTTTATCATCAGTACCAAGTGAAGAAAGTCTGTCTCTTCTGGAAAAGTATAATCCTCTTGCCATTTTTCGTACAAAAAGTGAGTGAGTCTCAAGCTACCTCTTTCTTTGTGCGTCACATCAATCCTCGTGATTTGAAAATTCCTAAAGACCGAACTAACTTCGATCGTTTTCACCATTAGACTTCCAATTTCTAGAGTTGTTCCTTCAACTGGGCTCCAATAGCGGTAGCACTGGCTCCTTCCACTTTCAACAAGCTTGCACAACATGACAATAAGCTCACATTTCTGTTCCCAAATCATCTTCCACCAATCCGACACGGTCTCTTCTAGCGGTGCCTGACTCACTATAAACTTATTAGGGTGCTTAAAGCCATCCACGTGACTTGCATTGATGTAATCGCTACAGTTTCCTTCACTTAGAATCACTCTGCTGTGATCAAAGCACGGCTTATCTGGATATCTGTTTTTCCTGAAGTTTTCTTCAGACGTGCAAACATCAAACGTTCCTTGTGTTTCACTGTTCAATATTTTGTGGTGCTCTTCACAAAGATATTGAAGAGCATTCGGCTTGTTGAACAATTTGATAAGATTGTTGCACTTTAGCGACTTAGAATTTCCACTCCCCATTTAGGATACAAATATTGTCTACTTTCTTTAAGTGCTGTTCAGCAATATAACTGCACCGATCTATGACCTAAGGTCAACTAACAGGTTACTGTTCTGAACCGATATTTATAGCGATTCTTCCTATTAACTTGATGCATATGTGCTAAGCTATTTAGGTAATATTATTATTACAATTTGAATAACAAGGACTGTAACTATGCCAAACAGTAGGCTATTTTAGTTTGACGTCATGGGCAAACCACAAACTGATAAACGTCAATTCAATCCAGTAAGTGACAACCCAAGTTGAAATTTAAGTCGTAGATTTAACGTATTGAATGTAAGAAACGTTAGTTAAACGTAACAAATGTTTAAATCGTAAACTCAACGTTTTCAAAATTTAAAACGTCAGTTTAACGTATTGTTTTGATATTACTTATTTTCACTCCTTATCGGTTTGAATCAGTTCAATTAACGTTTTTAACGTTCAATACGTTCAAAACTTACGTTTTCAACTTCTAATACACTAAACTTACGATTTGAACGTTCAATACGTTGAATCTACAATTCAAATTTTAACTCGGGTATATTGAAGCACAATATGCATGCCTACGACCAAGTGTTATTAGGTTCACTTCACAACAGATTATGAAATAACTTATTCGTTTTCTGATTAAACCACGTAAGGTATCATTAATAAACGTATACTGACCCGCATTTATCTTCATTGTGGTTAAAAGTCATGTTGATAAACCGGTGAATAAAAATATTGATGATAAGAGTAGTTATATAAAGGCGTCGATCATCACCGGAGCCTAATACCAAATCAATTGGGATTATTGCAACATTAATTCTTTAACTTTATCATAATAAAGCTAAAAGTTCTTCTTACAATGGCTACAGGCCTCTTTGTGATGCACAACAGCTGCCATTATTTGAAGCAAGTAGCTGAATCTGAAATAAAATACGTCGAAAGGATTTGTCGAGAGCACCATACCATTCTCAACATGCAGATAAGCGGTCCTTGTAAGGAATGTAAGGAATTGAAAAATATTAAGAAGAATCGGTTTCAAAACATCGAATGTTGGGATTCTACTAGGGTGTGTTTAAAAAAACAGGGATCTAACTACATCCATGCGAACTATGTTGATGGTTTTGAACAAGCCCGGAAATTCATAGTGACCCAAGAACCGATGGACAACACACTCGAGGACTACTGGAACATGGTTTGGCAGACTAGTACTAGGGTTATCGTGATGTTGAATGGTGCCGACGCACCTGCAGTGTCCACTGTAAGTGACTATTCCAAATTGGAAGGATTTACGGTCATCGTAACAAGTATCGCTTTGCAAAGTGATTATGTTGAAATAGTTATGAATTTATTTAATACTAAAATCATGCGATCAAGAACTGTTCATTGTTTCAAATACCTGAGCTGGCCAAAAGAAAGTGTTACTGACATATTGACGCTTATCAATTTCATGATAGTAGTAAATGAAAGGCACCAGTATTACATTAAACTTGGCTTGATAAGTTCGCCGGGTCCAATAGTTGTCTACAGTACCACTGGCATCGGGAGAGCTCCAACGTTTTGTGCTGTGGATCTCTGTATATTTCAATTAGTAAACACAGCAACGGTATCGATACCAGCAGTTGTGTTCAACATTAGACGACAGAGATGTTCAAGCTTCGAGTCTATAGACCATTATTTTTTCATTAATAATGTGATAATTTATTTTCTAGCAACTATTCCACCGAATTGTGAGTTATTCTTCCGATTTCTCTGTAATCGCTCACTTTGAAATGCACTTTTGTAATCAGTACAGACCTATAATGTAAGTAAATGATTAAAGTAACTGATAGTATTGATTGATGTTTTATTTATACGCAACCCCTTCATTGATGAATAGAGAGGGGAAAGTTTGTGATTTGTGTAGGCAAATATCTCTACTTAACTAACTCTACTTGGCTTAATGTAAGAAAATAAATGCCTCCCAGCATATTATAATAATTTTAAACAAAAGAAGGAAAATAGTTTTGCTACCATTACTTTTGTTAAAAACGCACATATTCTGTCTAACAATACTTTGATATAAAAAGGAAAAACATATTTTGTCGTGAATCATAAATTTCAATTACAATTGTCACTATATATTTTTGCAGAACAGCAATCGTTAATGTCTTACTTGACGACTTTATAGTATTCACATTAGTAGGGGAGGCTCAAGTCGAATTGAACAGTCGACCTCTAATATTGGTAGACTTGAAAACTTTCTTCATAGAAATCAAATTATTACCAACAGAATAGAGCCAAAGAGTAGAGTTTGTAATAAGTAGTAAGTAATTAAAGGAATTATCCTACCATGATTTAATAAATAGCTTTTAAAAGTCTTGTAATTATACTTTTTACATCGTTTTATAGACAACTATTTTTTATCAGAACTACAGTTTAATTATTCTCTAAACTCACATTAATAATTGTATACAGTAAAAACTGCTACAAAATTAATATTCTTTAGGAGTGTGATCAATTGTTCCTCTTTCTACCCATTGTATTCATCATACCCTACCATGTAATAACTCTAAAAATATCGTACCGGAAAGTCTTTTATAAGATGACTACGACCTAAGTAGGCCTCAGTTTTATACATCCATTACTTGCGACACCAGTGCATCCAGGATTAAAAAATATGAATTCTTAGAGCGTGATTTTGGAAAATAGCTCCAGAAGACGGAGCTATGATTTAGCAATCAAGAACATCAAGTTCGATACTTCTGCAAGCTTCGTCGATGGCAATAACATCCCCAAGAAGTTTATGGTCTTCAAAAAACCAGCATCTGATTTTTCATATTCAACTTTTTGGGACTTGATATGGAAGACTGATAGCAGAGTGATAGTGCGATTTGACAAGGGTAAATCCGTAAGACAAAAATAGCTGAATAGCGATTCATCCCTGGCGTACGATGTCAGACAATTTACTCTATGGAAGAAGACTATAACCGACAAATATTACACTCAGATAACCTTGACTGTAAGAAACAACAAAGAAAATAAGTCAAGAAAGATAACGCATTACCAATACCACGAGTTTCCTGATCAACAAACGCCCTTCTACTCTGCGCAGCTGATATCTTTTTGGAAGATTGTGAACAAAAAGTATGAAGGCACCATTTCACCAGAAGAAAAAGAAAGCGGAATGTGCCTACAATAGATAGGAATGGAACTACAATAGATAGTTACTTAAACTATTTTTAGTTTAATATAGGCTTAATATTAATTTTTAATAACTTTAACACAGAAAACAGAAAAACAATAATTATGCATGGGTCGACCATGACTCACAATACTACGGCGTAGATTCTCAGCCGTTATGAACTGTTAAATAAGTTATTGTTCTATTAAACATGACTTTTATTTCTTTTCATAAAAGCTATTCTCGCATTCGAACGAAAACACATTTTGTAAATATTTACGAGTTAGTATTATAATTTGTGATTTTTTACGACCGAGTCAATGATTAGTGACATTAACATTCTCATAAAAGCGCGGAATTTGAATACCAATGTGTTGTTTGAGGAAATGGCTTTCACTGAAGAAACAGAGGTTTTAAATAGGGTTTAGAAGATTCAGGCAAGCTTTCTTTGAGATGGCCTCGAGCAGCTGCCTTTTTTTGAATAAGAATGATAATGATAGTACATTAGTTGTTTTGTCGGTTTGTAATCATGGATTGTACTACTCGAAGTATAAACAATGTCATAAGTAAACTGCAAAGGAAAAGAGGCAATAAATTCAATGTTATTAGTAAGTAAGGTTTGCGGTTGGATAAATCAGCTAATAATTATGATGAGAATAAAGTTATTTTCTATGTGACTTATGAATATTTTTTAATTTAAGCCACTTATATTCTGAGTGGATTTAATACTTCAGGAGATAGATACTAATGGACCTCAATAAAATCAGAAATGGATTTTATTGAAAGGGATGTTATTGATAAAGGAGCGTGCAATATCGCTAGATTTTTGAGTTTTAAGCAGCATAACTGTTCCCAATGTACCCATAGAAGGTAAGTTTCATAAAAATTAAAGTTTAGAGTTGATGAAAGTTAAAACTCCAAGATCAAGTCAGCAAGACCATTTGCGACGCTTTAAGACGCTTTAAGACGCTTCTGCATTATACAAATCATGGTTCAACATATCGGCCAGTTTCGCTAGTAGAAAATAATTTTTCAAATTTTTCTATTTTTTTTTTATTTAAATTCTTAAATTTCGACATTGAACAGGTCCCTGGTCGACGCTCAGTACATTTTGTATAGGAAATCGCATTACCCTAACAGTAATGGTCGCGATCTGGAAATTTATAGACTTAGAAAATATTCAGCTGCAGAGTCGATGACGTCACGACGAAATCAATGTCAAGGTCAGTTTGCGTCCTCTATGGAGTCATAAACAGTTCAATATAGAGGGCACGCTGAGTATTGAACTCCAGTTCATGTGTGTTCGTTACGTAGGTAAGATCGTTGACTCCTATGATACAGCCCTGACCTTTATTATGTAGTCCTGATGAAGGTGAATTTACATTGTGAACATGTTGCTTACTTCTGAGGTGTAATTGTTAAGTAAGGTACACATAAAGTGTACAGTTTACAGCTTTTAAAATTTTAAACAGGGGAAAAATATGTTTTGCTTTGATAAGTTTAAGGAGATCCAAGTACCCTCCTAGTGTAAAGAATATCTATAAAAAAATAATACATAAAAATACTTTTGTTATCTTAAAATTAATTTTTAAATTAATTAATAAAATATTTGAGGAAATTTCCGATAAATTTACTCATTAAATAATTATTAACATTTAATTGACTAATAAAAAATATAGCACTCTGAATTACCGGTATACACTTGACAACACAAAAAGAGTTCCCTAACCTTAAAATTTATTTATGTTTACTGTCTAACTAAAATGACTAAAATCTTCTAGTCCTAACCTAATCATTTGAAATATCCCGGAAATCTACTATTGTTTTATTTTTTTATTAATTATTAGGCTACGTAGATTGAGTTTACAAATTTTCAGGAAATTTTAAAAATTTGACTACTCAGCGTTTAGGATTCCAAAAGCTGTATACTATACATTTTATGTGTATCTTACTCAACAACTATACCTTAGAAGTAAACAAGATGTTCACAATGTAAATTCACCTTTATCAGGACTACATAATAAGGGTCGGGGCCTTATCATAGGAGTGAACGACCTTACCTACGTAACGAATACACATGAACTGGAGTTCAATACTCAGCGGGCCCTCGATATTGTACTTTTTATGACGCCATTGATGATGCAGACTGACCTTGACATTAATTTCGTCGTGACGTCATCGACTCTACAGCTAAATATTTTCTAAGTCTATAAATTTCCAGATCGCGACCATTACTGTTGGGGTAATGCGATTTCCTATACAAAATGTACTGAGCGTCAACCAGGGACCTGTTCAATGTCGAAATTTAAGAATTTAAATCCAAAAAAAATAGAAAAATTTGAAAAATTATTTTCTACTAACGAAACTGGCCGTTATGTTGAACCTTGATTTGTATAATGTGAAAGCGTCTCAAATGTGTCTTTTTAACAGCACTTAGGTCATGTAGTTGTAACCTTTAGTCACTGTTTGGATCTGCCAAGTCCGGATCACGAATAGGGTCAATTCTTATCATATTTACCTCCTGTCAACAATGTGATCATAAAATACGTCAACAATTCTCGATACCAATAATTATTAAGATTATTAAGGTTGCAAACAGTCTTGCTGACTTGACCTTGGAATTTTAACTCAACATCAACTCTGAACTTTAATTTTTATGAAACTTACCTTCTATGGGTACATTGGGAACAGTTATGCTGCTTAAAACTCAAAAATCTAGCGATATTGCACGCTCCTTTATCAATAACATCCCTTTCAATAAAATCCATTTCTGATTTTATTGAGATCCATTAGTATCTATCTCGTGAAATATTAAATCCACTCAGAATATAAGTGGTTTAAATTAAAAAAGATTTATAAGACACATAGAAAATAACTTTATTTTAATCATAATTATTAGTTTATTCATCCGAACGCAAACCATACTTACTAATAACATTGAATTTATTGCGTCTTTTCCTGTGCAGTTTACTTATGACATTGTTTATACTTTGAGTAGTACAATCCATGATTACAAACCGACAAAACAACTAATGTACTATCATTATCATTCTTATTCAAAAAAAGGCAGCTGCTCGAGGCCATCTCAAAGAAAGCTTGCCTGAATCTTCTAAACCCTATTTAAAACCTCTGTTTCTTCAGTGAAAGCCATTTCCTCAAACAACACATTGGTATTCAAATTCCGCGCTTTTATGAGAATGTTAATGTCACTAATCATTGACTCGGTCGTAAAAAATCACAAATTATAATACTAACTCGTAAATATTTACAAAATGTGTTTTCGTTCGAATGCGAGAATAGCTTTTATGAAAAGAAATAAAAGTCATGTTTAATAGAACAATAACTTATTTAACAGTTCATAACGGCTGAGAATCTACGCCAAGATAGATTCACGGCTGTGAATCTACAGTCAAGTTTATCTGAGTGTAATATTTATCAATGATAGTCTTCTTCCACAGAGTATACTTCCCGACATTATATTCAAGGGATGAAGAACTATTCAGCCAAGAATGCTTCATTGATCTTCCTTTGTCAAATCGCACGATCACTCTGCTACCAGTCTTCCATATCAAGTCCCAAAATTCCGGAAATGAGATATCAGATGCCGATTTTTTGAACACCATAAACTTCTTTTTGATGTTATTTCCGTCGACGAAGCTCGCAGAAGGATCGGGCTTGTTCTTCTTTATTGATGGAACACGGCGCCGTTTTTTAGAGCTTCCATTGAAATTTTGAAAGCTTTTATTGATATTCATTTATGTAAGGTCTGTTAAGTACACTGCTATCGCGAGAAATGGTTGCATCAAACTGAAGCCTAATTAGATCGTAGTCACGTTATAAAGGATTTTCCAGCACGATATTATTAAAGTTATTGCACGGTAGGATTTGTTGAATATTCCAGGAGAGAGGAGGGATTATTTAATACGCTATTAGGAAACATAAATTATGTCGTGGAAGTACTAGTGATGGACAAAATTCTCGTCGATTAAAGACTAGTAAAAATTTTAATATAAAGATGTTTATAATTTTTTAATGAGTAAATTTATCGAAAATTTCCGCAAAAATGGTATTAATTAATTTAAAAATTAATTTTAAGATGCATATCAAAAGTATTTCTACGTATTATTTCTTTAATAGGCATTCTTTACAGTGAAATTCAAGACTTAATTAATCAAAACATAATTTTAAGATACTTCAACTCTGTAAATCTTGAATGTTTTATTTGACTCATTCAAAATATTGAATGTTTTAGTTGACTCGTTAAATTAAATTTTCTCTTCACTACTGGATGTTACGACGCCATTCCACTAATCAGTAACATCCGTTATATTACTAAAAAACAGAGTGTCAAAATTAATGATGCATATCAAGAAATTATTTTCCTCATGACATCAAAGTATTATTATTTATATAATATTCACGTGCGTACACCAAAAGTAATGTCAGCACTATCATTTTGATAGAACTGTTGCAAAAACTTAGTCAAATAAACAAAACACCAATTAATGCTGTTAATAAATTTAATACTTTACTTACATAATAGGTCTAAAATCCAGCGACAATAAATACGCATCAATTATGCCTAAGTGAGAGCGAAATTCGAGGAAAATTGCAGGATTCGATTTAATAGTGACCAGAAAGAAAGCGATGAAACTATGAATAAATATGTAGTGGTTCAAAGTTGAGATGCTAAATCGCCGTTGTTGCCTGGCTTTAAGCACTATTAACGGCACTGACACAGTTGCTGTGTATACGATTTGGTACAGGCATATATCTGCGACGCAAAATGCAGCCGTTCTTCCGACACCCATATCACCATGGACGACAATTGGACCTGCTGGAAGTTGGTTAGGCAGCAACGCTTTCTTGAAATAATACTGGTCTTGCTTGTTGACTGCTAGCAGCAAATCAAGAAACGATCCTACATCAGGAACGCCAGTTTCTATCCAGTCAACGTATTTGAAATGATGGATCACTCTCACTTCTCCACTCGAACTATGAACAATGCTCAACTTAGTGTACACGTAATGGGATTCCCTTCTAATGCTTTCTTGTTTGATGACAAACTTTTTTAATATTGTATGATCTTGGGTCACGCAGAAATACTGGAGGCTTGTAGGTTGTGATTCGTGCTTGGTACCATTCAGCATCACGATGATCCGAGAGTTTTCCTGCCAGACCATGCTCCAAAAATCATCGAAAGTTGTTGCCATAGGTTCTTGCGTCGCTATAAATTTACATCTTCCGTCAAATCCAGCCATATGATTGGCATTGATGTAATCCAAGCCGTTGTTGGATTTGAGCACCACCCGAGAAACGTCCCAACATGGATAGTCCGGTCTTCGGTTTTTCAATCTGTTTTTCGGTAAGTAAAAGTTATCACAGGTACTCGTTATAGGTACATTGATAATTTCCAAGTGTTCTTGAATGATTATATCCATGCATTTCGGGTTTTTTGCTCGTTGTATATAATCATTGACTCGAACAAACATTGAGAGGTTGGTAGCCATTTCAATGAATGCGTCGAAAATTCCAGCAGGAATGTGATCACAACAAAGTATTCCGTTTTACTAACGTCGTAACAATAGAATCCAAGTATTTCTAGTTTGATAGTAAGCTTTAGTCATTAATTATAGCATTTTGTGGTTTGTAACCAATATTTTTGATACATTTTCCTTATGATTATGATAAGCAGTCTTATAGTGCTAACAATAATGAACTTCAACTATTAAAAAGTATTTGGTCGAATCAAAAGTTTATTAACAATTTAATCTATTGACTGTCGGTGGACTTGATAAAAAAAAACGCGCACTTTCACCTAAGCGATGACAGAATAATCGTTTGGATAACTCACAATTCGGTGGAATAGTTGCTAGAAAATAAACTATCAAGTTATTGATAAAAACATAATGTTCGAAAGACTCGAAGCTTGAACGTCTCTGTCGTCTAATGTTGAACACAACTGCTGGTATCGATACCGTTGCTGTGTTTACTAATTGAAACATACAGATGTCCACGGCACAAAACGTTGGAGCTCTCCCAATGCCAGTGGTACTGTAGACAACTATTGGACCCGGCGGACTTATCAAGCCAAGTTTAATGTGATACTGGTGCCTTTCATTCACTACTATGATGAAATTGATAAGCGTCAATATGTCAGCAACACTTTCTTTTGGCCAGCTCAGGTATTTGAAACAATGAACAGTTCTTGATCGCATGGTTTTAATATTAAATACATTCATAACCATTTCAACGTAATCACTTTGCAAAGCGATACTTGTTACGGTGACCGTAAATCCTTCCAATTCGGAATAGTCACTTACAGTGGACACTGCAGGTACGTCGGCACCATTCAACATCACGATAACCCTAGTACTAGTCTGCCAAACCATGTTCCAGTAGTCCTCGAGTGTGTTGTCCATCGGTTCTTGGGTCACTATGAATTTCCGGGCTTGTTCAAAACCATCAACATAGTTCGCATGGATGTAGTTAGATCCCTGTTTTTTTAAACACACCCTAGTAGAATCCCAACATTCGATGTTTTGAAACCGATTCTTCTTAATATTTTTCAATTTCTTACATTCCTTACAAGGACCGCTTATCTGCATGTTGAGAATGGTATGGTGCTCTCGACAAATCCTTTCGACGTATCTTGTTCTTGATTCGGCTACTTGCTCAAAATACTGACAGCTGTGGTGCGTCTCAAAGATCCGTGGAGCCATTGTAAGGAAAAACTTTTACCTTCGATGCACAGAGAAAACTGATTAGACTCAGCAACAAGTCCAGTTGACTTCCTTTATATAACTTCTCTTATCATCAGTTTTTGCGGTATTTGGTTAACTATCAATGCCGATTGACCACAACGGAGATAAAATAATCACCAATTGTGTTAATATATATTTACTGTTGATTCATTACTCGATTTAATCACAGAAAATAGTCTTTAATGAATCTAATGAATCTTTATGATTTATTTTATTTATTTATTTATATATTTATTTTATTTTATTTATTTTATTAAATAATTTAATGAATCTTTTATGAAGTGAACTTAACAAGACTAGCCCTTAGACACGTATAACCTTTCAAACTTCAATATTGTGCTTTTATAGTCAGCTATTTGATGTAATTTACGCTTATTAGTTTGTGGTTTTCCATGTCATATACTAAAATAGCTTGCTGTGTGGTTTAATTACAGTCCTTATTATTCACATTATAATAATAATTTTACATAAATAGCTTATCACACATGAGTCAACTTATAAGGAAAATAGGCTATTTGTGAGCAGAGGTTCAAAATAGCAACCTATAAGTTGATTTTAGGATACGTAAATTCAATTTTGCTTCAAATAAAATTTCTGTCAAATTCAGTACGAACATTTATTTGTAACACATAACGAAATAAAACAGATCACATTGATAGATTTTTGATTGCAGACCCTACCAGGTACTCGGTGAAAAACAAGTGAAGTTTAATTACATATCAAAATAATTTCCACACCGGTGACACATATATCAGCGCCTGAATTAGACTACCTACGCATTCAACGGCGACATACTGTCTGGTGCGTTAGTTACATTACCAATGTAATTTATTAACACAAATGAGGGTAAATACTTCTTCCGTCTTCAAAAGTTTCTAGTTACATATCGTAAATCTTACTGTATTTAACATCAAAGACGCCCTAATTTGCAAGCATCCGAAAGTCCGAGAAGTCAAGGCTAATTAAACTGAATTATAAGATTATGACAGTTCAGGCAACAAAAAGAACCATAATCTTGTTTTGTACGACGCAACTAAATTCGCTGACAAGTATTCATTCAGGTCAACTTTCATCAGATGGATTCTAGGATTCACATCTTGACATATACATGTGAGATAGAGCAAGGATATCTTAAGCACTGAGTCACTTTCAGAACCATGTGAGATACTAATAAGGTGATAAGTAAGTGTGATTGAATGCTGGATGCTGAATTTGTCATTTATCGGCAAGTGTTAGAGAGGAGAGAAGAAAAGGAATTTTTGGTTGACACCAAAAATAACTTTGGCAACTGCCATTCAGTCACCCGATAAAGGATGGCTTATCAACATTTTTTTGCACACTTAAAAAGTAATGCAGCACTTCATAAATGAACGAGTACTGGTTGAAATTCATAACACCAGCATAACGTTGCTCGCGCACATTAAAAACCACTTGGGGTACACAAATTGCGGACGTTTTCACGAGTTGGTTCAAGCAGATGTCCACTGCGCAGAAGGTTCCAGTTCTGCCGACTCCAGTGCTGCAGTGCACCACCACCGGGCAGAGCAACGCATCCTTCGGATTAAATAGCTTCATGTAGACTTGACGTACTCTATCGATCATGTTGATGAATTGCACAAACCACGGTAAGTCGGAAGGAGTGTTGTATTCAAACCAATTGCTGCACTGGAAGTGACTTAGTTTCCTCGATGTCTTCAAGGATTTATTCGTGATTTCGATCAGTGTCCGGACGTATTTAGCCCGAACTGTGACTTTCAGAGTTTTGATGCGGAATCCGTTCATGTCCAGTGACCCATTTTCGCTGGGACACCAATACTGATAACATTTTTCTTCACCGCTAACTTTAGTTGGAGTTAACATCACTATCACATAACAATGCTCCTGCCACACGAGCCTCCAGAAGTCTGCAGTGGTGTTCGCAAAGGGACCTTGAGTGGCGATGAACTTCTTCGGCTCTTCAAAGCCATCGATCCAATTCGCGTGGATGTAGTCCGATCCTCCTTTAGTATCTAGCACAACGCGTGAATGCTCCCAGCAAGGAATGTCCCAGTACCGGTTTTTTGGTTGATTCTCGGGCTTCATGAAGCTGGCAATTAGTTTATCGATCGGCTGAGTTACAATGCTGTAGTACTCATCTCGTATGAGCTTGAAACAGTTCAGTTGTGTTCTTCTTTTTAAAAAGTCCTTTGCGGAAACTTCAGCAAAGCATCGGCTGTCCATTGTGAAATTATCTTAAACGGAGACACAGCTTCAGAGGAGTGGCTTACACGATACTGTTCGTGAAACTGAAAACCTTTATAGTTTTGTACTGTTACACGCATTAAAAACGATATACTTAGCTTTTATTTAATGTATCGCTTATGCTCAAGAGATTAGATATGTCTATAAATCCGTTACTACTTTATAGTTTTATAGGGGATCTTATTTTACGATGGTATTTGTAAGAAATATATCGTTAGATAATGCAAATGGATTTAAGCGAGCTAAAGATATAATTTATTACTTTTGCAAACTGTAAAAGTTTTAATAGAGTACTATTTTCAATGTTAGAATAGCTATGATGCATGTATGCTACTCACTTTCTGAATTCGCTTTTTTGATACAGTTATAACAATTATAACACAAGTTTTTGATTTTGGGTTGAGGTTTTCCGCTTGAAGTATGCTTTTTTGGTATAAAATCCTCAAAGCTTTGAAAAAAATGTACATTAATAGAAGAAATTGTTAGAAAGGTTAATATTGTTAACCATATTAGGAATGAAAAATATTGTTTATTAATTATAAATCTTTATTAATGTGAAAAAATTTATTTCTTTATGTTTTATAAACATTTTTAATGTTAAAAAAAATTATTAACTATGAAGAAATATTTATTAAATACAATGCAAAGTTCAAAACAAGCAATCAATTATCATCATCTATAATTAATCTAGTTAAAAAATTCACAATACAAAATAAATATCAATTTAATTATAGACGCATGAGAATAATATGACTTATAAACTGGTATTTAATTTAATTTAAGCATAGAACAATAACGTACGCATTGAAATATTTCGAGCAATTGACAATAAAAAATCTGAAAGTGGATTTCAAAATCGAAATAGAAAATTTATTATTTAACTTAATTATGTGCAAGTGGCTTACCAAGTAAATTAAAACTTAGCGGTATAAGAATTCGATAAAGGCAGTGGAAACATTATCTTCTTAACATAGACTTCAAGTAATTGGTAACACAAGATATAGTCATCTAAATGGATCCTAAATCCGTATTTTTGCTGGCGAACTCTGTTAAGAACATTGGGCAGTGACAGGGTTCCAGTTTTGTCAAATTGCGCAGCAAATAGATGGCTCCAGTAACAATATTTTTTTTTCCGTGTACCTACCATCGTGCCCTTTTTTTAAAGCAATTACCTTAATCCAACCGTTCCCTTGCGACGCATTTATCGGAACGTAAACATCGCAATCAATAGCTTTAACCATAAATTACATGTTATTACATTATAAATTTAAATTAGTTTTGTAGCTTTGGGATTTACGTGACCTTTTGTAGCTTTTTTACAAAAGTAATTAAGTCCAGTCAATAAATATTCCATTAACTATTCTTCAGAATACTTGAAGCGTTATTTAGATTCGATATTAAAATATTGCATTAAAATCAAACACTTGCATTCACAATGTACCTAACTTGATCTATATTTATTATTTGGACTTCTGATTACTAAAAGCTACCTTCATTAAAAGTCAATTCATTTTTAGTTCTTCACCCCATAATAAAACTCATTTGAATCTCAAACAAGAATAAGTCTCACTACTTGCGAAAACGTTAACGCTTAAATGATGCCAACCCTTGAAATAGCTCTCGCTTTTATCTCTACTTACGTAACCGAGCCTCGTAATTAGGGTAAAATTTGGGAAATTCCCAAAAGTAACATTGGTAGAATAGTATATCCGGCTTCAGCAAGGGCCGGATCTGTAATGAAAATTAGGTTCATTATCGCTTAGAGTCACGTGAAGTAACTGTGCTTAGCGGGTAAGTGTGTGCAACCCCTTTTTTTATGAATGGAGAGGGGGAAGTTTGTAATATGTGTAGGAAAATTAAAGGTTTGTTGGTGGAAAATGAGCTTATGAAAGAAAAACCCACGTGGTATCATTAGTTTAATGAAAAAATAAAATATTAAGAATCTGATGGCGTAAAGGTTAAATTTTCTGTCATGGCAAAGATTGTCACACTGTACTAAGGATAGTTACTAAAGTAAATTCATTCTTTTACAGTCAATAATGTATCTGAGCTTTTTATTTAGCATAACATTCCAAGTTATGTTATGTCTCAATAAAGTTATGTAAGTATTATTAAAATCAGTCTGCTTAAGGCATTAAAAATCCACTTAGTTCCCTTAGTTGTTTAAATTAACCCCACACGAGTGCAAACACTTACCCTTAAGTGCGCAAACTTGCCCCACATGACTTTATTTGCCTAATTTCATTACATTATCCCGCATTAAACGCCTAATTAGACACCCATAAATTATACGCTATATATTGTTTGTTTTACGATGAAGTCATTCAAATTTTTCCGATTTTAAATCACGTCATAGGTCACTATTTATGTTTATATCTTCCAGCAGATAACAATAATGAAACAGTGATATCCAATTATTTCGGTTAGCTTCCCTAAGTTTATTATCTACGCATGGATACGTTATCGGGCTATTTTTAATAGCTGGAATAACATATATATAAGTAATTCCCGGCAATTTAGTTGCTCCGTTGAATCGATCTAGTAAACACAGCTCGGATGTTAGTGTAATTATTCCTTATTATTTTCCGTACATTTGTGTATTAGCTTGATATATTTATTTAGATATTGTTTAACTGAAACTTTTTAAAACAGTTTTTAGAATAAAAGAATGAGCGAATACCAATACTTAAATTCGGAAATTCAAGTACCGAAAGAATGGCCGGTGGATATTGCACGACCGTTGTTTGAATATTTCGTTAAGAATGCGACCATCTGCTATCGAAAAGGTCAGCGAGTAGTCGTTACCGTAGAAAACATCTCGGCAGCAGTTACCAAATTTGAAAACAAGCCGGGATATCTTTTAGAAAAGACAGAAGACATGTAAGTGTCCTTTTTTTTTTAATTTATCATATTTTACTACCTATTTTCGTAACAATTAAACTTTATTTTTAGAAACGATGAAAGGACTTTCAGAATGGATCTTATTTTTCCGGCGAAAGTTGTGATGCTGACGCCTAAATCTGACGGAGTTAATCGAAAAGAAGAAGAGTCAGTGTAAGTATTTAAAACTTAATTATTTGGCTTGCAAAACTATAAGTTAGTTATAATGATTTATTTTTTATTTTTCAGGCAATGTCTACCGATGATTTTAAAATCTAATCACGTAATTTCGTCCATGCTTGTAATGAATCCTAAATTTCACAAAATTATGACGGTCGAACCAGACATCGAAAAGTAAGTCTTTTATCTATACAAATTCCTTTCTTTTTATTTATTTATTAAATTATAAAGTGCTTTACACATTTTGAATTATTTTCACAGGATTTTAAAGCTTAAAGGCATCACAGGTCCCGAAAAATACAATTATGGTGTTGAAACAACGTACACAATTCGAATGATCAAGTATCTTGAAGATAACGTGTAAGTGTAAACATTAATTTAGATAACGTTCGAAACTAGGCAATATTTTAAGATATAAATGGTACAATATTGTTTTTTTTAGTGAAGCTTTTTTGATAAAAAGCAGATTTTAAAGCTACTTTTAAATTTTCAGAACTGAAATCGAACCGACTCCGTCTACGTCAGCAGATCCGTCTACGTCAGCAGGACCATCTACGTCAGCAGGACCGTCTACGTCAGCAGGACCGTCTACGTCAGCAGGACCGTCTACGTCGGCAGGACCATCTACGTCAGCAGGACCGTCTACGTCAGCAGGACCGTCTACGTCGGCAGGACCATCTACGTCAGCAGGACCGTCTACGTCAGCAGGACCGTCTACGTCGGCAGGACCGTCTACGTCTCAGGAGCAAGCTACGGACTATGACTGGAATATTGTGACTTACGATAAACTGTCACCGCCCAAGTAAGTTGTTATACACTGAGAGAAAAGTGCATAAGCTTAATTATTACGTCACAAGTAATAAAATACAGTTTTCGAAACTTTTTTTTTTGTAGTTACTCGAAATATGCATTTGTTTAAGTATTGATAAATAATTATACCGACTATATTTTAATAAATATTTTTCTATCGTGCTAAACAAATAAATTATTAGACTGAAAGGTTGTTACAAACGATGTCTTAGATAGCTTAACTGGAAGAGCTCTTGGTGCGTAACCAAAAGATCCAGGTTCGATTCCCGGCCGGGGCTGTCCGAATTACTTTTTCTGTGTTAAAGTTAATCAAGATGACTATTAAGCCCATATTTAACTAAAAATAGTTCAAGTAAATATCTATTGAGGTTAAATATAATAAATAATATTAGGTATCCAAGGGTGCCTACAGTTTACGTAGAAGTCAAAATCACAGTCGAATTTAAGCAACGTTAGTTATTATGAATACATTATTTTTACTTTTTCGAAAAAAAGATGTTTGTTATATCCTAATTATTGTAATGTACTTTAATTACAGACGATTCCGGTGCAGCTGGAAGGCTGCAAGCCCTTGGATTTGTTATTCAGTAACTATCGTTCTTATTATAATATTGATTTATCTGTGCGTGATCTTAACCATAAACTATAAAATATTTTGAATTAGTCTGAATAAAACCTGCAACAATAATTAATTTAGTTTTGTTTAATTTACAACATACACTTTACACAACCGTAGACACTAAATTTTTCCTCACAAGCATCATAAAACTACTCTTCAATATATTATCATTCATAAATTTTTATGTACAACTATTTGGCCAAGGCAACATTATTTCTGATTGACTTTTATCTTATTGCAACCCACTAAAACTCCAGATAGGTAGTGCTATATTGGAATTAAGCCAATATACGGGTTCAGCCAGTCATTGGATTTCCCCATAACTATGAGTCGATGTTTGTTTTCAATGTAGCATAACAACAGTCGAACATTTTCCTTCAACGTAAATAGAAGGTATTACATTATGCACCCATTTCAATTACAAGTAGGCAACAACGTCATTCTGCTCTAGCATATAAATAACAAAAGAACCAACTGGAAAAATTGCATGATAAAATCTTATTACAGCAGTGTGTTTTATCGAGTGAGTTCTCTTTCATCTAGATATTTTTGACTGAGCCCTTTTCCCCTAACACATACATATGAATGGCTTTATAGCAGAAACTATAGTCATCTGCGTTATAATTCAAGCAGTTGTGCTGTCGCTGTCTTATTTTCCGAAAAGCGTTTGCCACTGAAAGCGTACCTGTGTATTTGAATTGGGTAACACAAAAATCGAGGATACAATATAATGCCGAAAAACTGCTACCATCGTTGCAATGAACAAGATCAGCTCCGGGCTTCCATCCAGCTGATTGTTCCGTCTTAGAAATAGTGTACGATTCGTTCAAACTGCACACAAAGGACAAAAATATAAACGGATCATCTGGATTGTTATCAGTTGGCGACGCAGTGTAATGATAGTGCCAAATCTCACGCTCGCAGTTCTTTTGGTCAGACAAAAGTAACAATGTTGCAATGAAACGGGGTCTCTTGATGACTATCAGAGTCTTAATTCTAAAACTTCCACACTCTATCTCACTTTCTTCTCTGGAACTCCAATACTGACAGCTTCCTTCCTCTCTGCTTTGAGATATCTTCACGATGGTATTAACTTCACGGCACCAGGCTAATTCCCAAAATTTATCGTAGTTTTCTGCTTTTAGGTCGCTTGTACAAATATACTTTTGCTGTCCGTCGTACGCGTCATAGACGTCTATAAAATCGGCTCTGGGGTACCTTTTCATGCAGCAGAGAAATCGGTGTAACAGCTGTCGGCACCCTTTGTTGTCAGGCTCATCATCAAACACCTCGCAAATTTTCCGGTTCTGTTCAATGGTGTAGTATTCTAGACGGATAAGGTCAAACGAGTCTACATTGTCCATAAAAAGTAAGAAGTCAACGGCAGATAGCTCTTCGAATTCGGTACTCATTTTCGCTCACTTATAGTCAACCCAAAACTAATATTGCACTTGTCTTTTTATTTTATTCTAAAATCAGCAATGGATTCTCACTTAAAGGCAGTTCGTATTAGACTAGTAATTTTTTGATCTGAATCGTATAATATAGAGGCTAACCTTGTTAATTAATTAAATAAACAAAAAGCTAATCCTATTGTCCTTCCAAAAAGCTAATCCTAAGTCCTATTGTCCTTCCTACGCACGTAAGTTACGACTTTATTTATTACTAGTATCTTTTAGTACTTTTAAAAAACTATTTACGAGCGCTCATAAATTTTTTTAGAGGCCACTTCGCACATTTTAATGCGAAATTGAACATCGGCACTTTAGTTATAATTTTTGGAAAAAATTCTACCTTATGTGCTTTTCACCAGGGCTTGTGATGTAATGATTGTAATTATTCTATTCAAAATAGCAAAACGTGGACGAATAATAGTAGATAAATCAGAAAAATGATAGAAAGTGGAATGTTACTAAATTCATCAGCGAAAGTTGATCATCGAATGAAGGAGCTTCAAAAAAAACCTTTCGTTATTTTAACGCATGTGATATTACTGTCGAAAAGGTCCGATTGACAACTTGCGTGGTATCAATCTATATCACACATGATGTAGAGACCGATTATCACGCCAAATAGCATCTAAAAAGTCAACTTTCTGGGAAGTTACATACGATAGTATCATATGAATTTTTTAATTAACTAAAAAATCGTAATTCTAATTGTAATGTCTTTATTAGTACATGTTTCTAGGGTGAGCCTAGAAATGATGGAGAACATTAAAAAAAATACAACAATAAAAAACGTATGATTTAATTTTTTAATTAGGCCATTCCGACTCTTCTGTAATTAAAAATTTTGTGCCATTTTTTTGTAAGAAGGTTATTACTAATTTCAAGCTGTTTTGTTATTTTTTTTATGGTATCCTATAAAGAAAAATTCGCAGAAACAATTATTGTTATGACTTTCATTAGCGGGGACCAGACCACTGGTTTTCCTGTTTTTGAAACGCTTATCGGATTGGTGAATTCCAATACCTATGCCATTGTTGTTATGAGCGACAAATAAAACTTGGGTATTTACCAATTTTGCTGATAGCGCGTTTAAAACCTATTGCGGTTTAAATGATAACAATATTTCCTAGTAAATTTAAAACAACATTTTCCGCGAGCTATATTAACGTTTGATTAATCACCCTCATAAATAGAGAATTTGATCTTCACCTGTTGCCATACAAAAGAGATCTGTTCAACATTTTGATTCTAAACTTAGAAAGCTGTAGACTTTCGTTTCATCCAAAAGCTATTTTTTTTGAGCTTGCAGAGCTCAAAATAATACACAAATTGTACTTATGAGCTCGAAGAGCTCTAAAACGTCATAAGTGCAATTTCAAGCGTTTAGGTATAGAATTGGCGGGAAGTTGCAGGGATGGCCTTCAGGGTCAACCGTATTCCTAATTTTTTTTTTCGATTTAATAATTTTTTTGTAAAAATTGAATTATCAAGGTTTGTAACAATAGTTGGACGTGTACTTGGCGCGACGGTTTACAGTGAAACTGTTTTTTGTGGGATTAATTATATAACTAAATAATCGACAGTTTGTAAATAAATTATGTGACCTCCAGTTATTCAGCACACATTGGAGTAAAATAAAATACTGGCATAATACAAGTATATTTACTAGATCTTTTTAAGTTTGCGTAATTGAACGACTAAATTAATTAATTGACAAGTTGATTTAATTGTGATTGCATAGTTTAAATGACAAATACATAAATGTATGGAATTTCATACTGATTCATCAGTATGGTGTGTCAGTGTTGAGTAACTCATTTAAGGTATCTATAATAAAGAAAAATCAAGCTAATTGTTAGTTAAGTAGAAGTGGATTAGAATAATATCATAAAAGCAGTTCAAATTAAATGAAAAGAATCATAATTAATGATATGTACAGAACTGATTGGTTGCATTCCCATAAGCTTCTATTATTTTCAATTCAATTGCATTTTTTATAACTAGTTAATATCATTATCATTATTATTGTTATTGTCATTATAATTATTAATGTTTTTATTATTATTTTTATTACACATGATATATAATAAACATGCACACGATTGACTTTTTAAAAACACACACATGAAGTCTGTGGGATAAGACCTCTTGTGCAATTAAATATCATTCGTCCTTAAAATTTGTTTATCATAAGACAGTATTTAATTGATATTAAAGTTTTTTGGAGTAGTTTAGTTACAATTTACCTTTAAACTGGAAACTTAAAAGTTTCATAGAACTTTACTTTTTATGAACATTTTTACAGTCATATTATTATATTTTACTAAGTAATATATTTTTTTGATTACTCAAAAATAATTGTTATATTATAATTATGAAAACAGTAATAAAAGTCACCATATTTATACTAACTTACACAATAATTATCAAATTATTTTAAGGAAGAATTTTTAAATCAATTTTTAGATATTTATCAAGCAAAATTATGTAATTATTTATTATGTTTCAGTTTACAACAAGTAGCTCATAAAAATATAATTATCATGCAATAAAATTTGTTTAATCTGTATTACATATTTTAGAATACTTTAAGTAATTTTAATTAAAGGAAAAATATGAATATTTCATAGTAGATACAAAAGATAAATTTCAATCATTATCACTATGTTGAAGTTATGTTTACAGTATCTTATGTTAATGTTAATAATTAGTGACAATCATCATATATAAAATAAAATATTTATGTTTAGTAATACTTGTAATATCATTTGTCACAAATTATTAATTATAGTGAAGCATATTTTTTTGAGTATTATTTTTCAATCATCAATATAAAAAGTACAGCATACATTGCTTTCTTTAAACTTAAGAATTACTGTCAATCATAATTATATGAAGTAAAATATTTATTTTTCAAATATTAAAA